GTGGTCTCACTTGACTAGAATTTCTCTCTCTTCTATCCTCCCTGTGGTCCCTCACGACCATAACCTTCCCCTCTCCCTCCTTGTGGTCCAGCATCACCACTATTTCCCCCTTTTCTTTTTCTTTTATCTCCTGCATGACCATTTTTTTCCTGTGCACCCCGGGCTCACCTGCCCCTTCTTTTTCCGATAGTCCCTTACGTCCATTTCCCTTTCTCTTCTTTTTCTAAATTCCCTTACAACACCATTTCTTTGGTGCACCCTCGTGGTGACTTCCTCCCTTTCACATCCTGTGGTGCCGCGAGACCACATTCGCCCAACATCTTACCTATCGTCGTCTCGTGTACACATCTTACTTATCACCGTCTCATGCAACCCATCCTTCCCTATCGTCGTGTGTAACCTATCCTCCCCTATCGCCGTGTGTAAGCCACCACCTAACGTCGTGTGTGCAAAGCCACCACCCAATGCTGTGTGTGCAAGCCACCACCCACTGTCGTCTGTGAACACAACCCATCGCCATGTGCCTCTCACTCCCCTTCCTCTACCCATTGCCATCTGCCCCAACCGCACGCGAGCTACCTTTCGCACCCCTTAACCTCACACGATAACAGTCGCCCCTCTCTCTCACCTCCATTCCCTCCAACCTTGCTATGCCACCTCTACTCTATCTACGTAGCAGTCTCTGCCTCTTTCAGTGGCCACACACATACCCACCAGTAGCCATCACCTTGCCTCTTCTTTCCTCCTCAATCACCACCAACCATTTCACCCAACAAACCTCCTAGCCTCCCTGCTCTTTTGCCCCCATCTTCACCCAAGTTCCCTGGTTCTCCGTTTTAGCAGCCTGCAAACAACAGCGGCCCACGGCCCATTCCCTGCAATCACTTACGATCTCAGCCACAACCGCCCGTTTCCCTCTCTCTGCCATCCGTCATTTCTGCTCTTCTTTACCTATGCGTTCAATCGTTGCTCTCCCTCTCCACGCCACTGTCGTGCGCCCATCTCATGGCTCCATCTCAGTCGCAGCCACCTTGCTGCTGCAACTCCTTCCATGTCTCGCCACCATCCTTCACTGCTATCACCGCCACGTTGCTGCTCCACCTACTCTCGCAGGTCTCTCTCTCTTTCTCTGCCACTTCCTATTGCAGTCACCTCTCTCTATCAACAATTGCAGCTTCTCCAACCACCTAGCAGCAATAGCCACTGTCCTCCAACGCAACCACCACCAGCCTACCATCTCCACCACTCAGCCGTGCTACCTCCATCACCTGTCATGCCGTCTCCACTACCTACTGAGCCTTTTCTTCACTCTGTTGTGCACCATTAGCACTGCTCGCCACCTCTCTGCTGTCCATCTTCCTGGCCGAGCCCTCTTCTTCAGCCATATGTCATCCCCGACCTCAGTGACCTTCCCATCAGACCACCTGCAACCTGTTCTCTCTCTTCACCGCTCTCTCTCTAAAAAACCTAATAGCGAAACCCATCTCACTATTTTTTCTCTATCTCATCCTCTTTTTTTTTTTTTTGTTGTTGTCTTTTTCATTTCGTTTCGTTCTACTCCCTTTTCATTGCGTTTTCGTTTATTTCCTCCAATCTCCCCCTTTTACCTTTTCGTCCCCTCATAATCTCATTTCTTGTTCACTTTCTCACATCAAGTTAGTGTGTTATATTCCATTTGACCTTGTTCACTTTTCATTTCACTTCATTTTATTTTATTTTATCTTCGACAAGTCAGGGTCCCCAGACCCACTTGTTGAGACGTCTTACATGTATGTGTGTGTTTGCAAGAAAGGAGAAACAAGTCAAGGGAGGCGATTCCAAACAGGCCGCAGGCCAAGGGGGCATTCCAACGTGATCTAAGAGGGTGCCCACGCGAGCTAGCCCGAGCGTGTCACAGATCCACGTGAGGTAAGTCCTGCCTCACGACCCCAATTCCTCTCACCGGTTGGTACTCCTGTCCATGTCTTCTTTACCCAGTTCTGGAGAGAGCGATTTCAGGTTCTGGGTCCATCTTGAACCCGAAACCATGCCACCAGGTCAACTCGACTAGGAGGACGAGATCGAGGCACCTAACCACTATTCTATTTTACTCAGGGGTTCCCAGATATAATAATTGTTGCATGATTCTATTGTCATTAAGATGATTAATAATTCTCTCTTAGCAAATTCACCACCTCTATCATATTGAAAAACTCGCTTTTTTTATTATCAAATGTCCTTTTCAACTATACAATGAAATTCATAAATACATCGAAAAATTCAGTTTTTTGTTTCAAGTGATAAATCTAAGTAAAACGAGTATAATCATCAACAAACACCACATAAAATCGATACATCTTATTATATAAAATTGGAGTAGGTCCTCATAAGTCTAAATGGATATTAAAGAAAGATTCAATAGAGGTTTTATCAACACCATTAAAAGGAAGCGTACAACTTTTTCTTATTTGACAACTAGCATAGATATTATAAGATTTATTTCATGCATCAACATTAATCAACTGTTTAGAGTATAAGTAACAAACAACTTTATTTTGAGGATATCCAAGATGTTGATGCCACACATCTTCTGATGTTTTTTTATTCCGATTAGCGAATAATATTTATTTCACTTCTTCAAATGCATACGATTATTCCTTATTACTATTTCTGACTAGGGTTGATGAGAACTAAAAAATACAAGGGAAATCTATTGTAAATTGACTAACAGATAACATGTTCTTTTGCATTTTTGGCCCCAAAAGAACATTGAAAACTTTGAATTTTCCAAACCCAATGGCAATACTTGCATTACTAGCATGTGAAATATTTAATTGTTCACCATTCCCAAACATGACTTTATCTGTGCTTCTATAGGGAGGAAGATTTTGTAACTTACCTGGATCATCTGTCATATGAGTGGAGGCACCTGTGTCTGAGAACCATTCTGAGTCTTATGAATCAGCTATAGTCATTACAACAAGGGCCTGAGGACTATCTTTTGCTGGGTATGTCTAGATGAATCGATGACAATATTTTAATGCAGTATGTCCAAGTTTTCCACAAATTTGACATTTTTTTCGAGGTGTCTGAGCTGACTGTTATATCTAAGAATCATGTTGGAAGGGTTGATCTGTGTGTTGTATAGGAAGTGTACCACCACTTTTTTTATTTTTCTAGGATACCCCACAACCCACATTCTGATCTGGCTAGTTTGAACAAACCCATATCCTCGAGAGTTGAAGAATTTTTTACTACTAAAGTTGTTAGTCCCCCTACCTCTATAATTCTGGTTACCTCTGTTGGGTCCAAAATTTTTTGTTGTTCAACAAAGGACATATTTTGATTTGGATCTGAGTATTCTTCAAAGACATGAGGCTGATTTCTAATTTCATGATTTTGAAGAAGTATAATTTCATAATATGAAGGAATAAGAGGTTTAAACATAGTAGTAGCAAAACTATCATATTTTGGATCAAGTCTATTAATAAGCCAAAAAACCTTATTTTCATTTGGTACATGCTTTCCAATAGCCGCTAAAATCACTAATACTCTTGAATTTACATATGTATTATGATAGGGTTAAATTCCCTTTATTGCAGAGGTGGAGTGCTAGGTAATTTAGAACTCCCTAATTTGAGAATTACTTGCATAAACATTTTTCAGGTATTTCCAAATTTCTGTAGAACTCTTGAGGCCAACAAATCCAAGACTCTCTTTTGGATAATGTCCTTGTGATCAAGACTTTAAGAAGTCAGTTGGACTTTAGTCATGATTTGCAGTCTGGGTTTTCGATTTCACTCTTAGTATTAGGAGATGAAATCTTTTGACTTGGTGTAAAGCAATTACCATTAATAAATTTTAAAAAAATTCGTGACTCTCAATGAGAGAGAGCATTTGAATTTCCTATAATAAATAGTTGTTTTGTGTCAACTTAATAGACACAAAGTTACCTATATTAAGGGTAAAGGAATATGGATACTTGGATGTTGAGGATGGAGTGGCGCCATAAGAGAAGAGGTATTTGAGGCTTAGATGGGTTGTGGAAATGGTGATGTGATTAAAAAAAAAAAAGGATGAGAAAGTTTTGGAGGTGAGAGGGTGGAGTTAGAGATTTCATAGAGAGAGAGAAACATGATTAATAGTGAAAGAAAGAAAGGCTTCGGTGGAGAGGAATGGTTTAGCAAACAGCCAAAAAAAAATAAAATAAAAATAAAAACAGAAAGAAAGAAAGTAAAAAAGATAAGAGGTGAGGATGAAAAAAGATGAGATGAAAAGACGGTTATGACAAAGGAGGAATTGGGGAGTGAGAATAAAAGACTTGGCAAACAACAAAATAAAAAAAAACGTGATGATAGAAAAATGATGGTTTAGAAAAGAAAAAAGTGACGAACGAAGAATACCGTGAGTCAGAATTAATGGGTGAAAGATTGAGAGAAAGAGGAGATTACTGCCTGCTGCTCTGATATCATATAGAAATTTTAGACAGAGAGGAACTCATTGAGAAAATAATTGTGCCCCACATTATTTTTATGGTAGTTCTTTCATTATATATATAATGATAATAGAATTGTATAATATAAACTTTTCTATCTTGTTATATGCAAAATACTCTTTCTTATCTTGTTACATTATCTAGTGGATACCTTTTTCGATGCAATCTCTTTCAAAAATACATCTTAATATGGATTTTGGACTATAAAAAAAATGCATTTTAAATTTTAAAAATAGATAAATCTGAATTTAATGTGAGATCACTTACTTTATTTAATCAATGACACACTCATAAGCACTCAATTTGAAATCTGACATACAAGAGTGAACATGACTTCATCGTATTAAAAATAAATGATCTTTTTGTATATTTTTCCTATTGTAAAGCATTATACTATTTTTTGAGCTCGTAATGTCGAGTGACCTGCGTCGAGTTTCTTATGTCGAAAATCAATATCGAATATTTGGAATGGGACCGCACAAGCACAGAAACTCGTTTAAACTTTCCCTTCGTCTTCTCTCGCTGCATTATCTTTCCCTGAAAGTAAAGTTGTTTCCCTCAATTTCTAGTTGATAAAGTCCATTGCTTTCACTCTCTCTCTCTTCGCTTCTCTCCATTTCTAGTTGATAAAGTCCATTGCTTTCACTCTCTCTCTCTTCGCTTCTCTTCATTTCTAGTTGATAAAGTCCATTGCTTTCACTCTCTCTCTCTTCGCTTCTCTCCATTTCTAGTTGATAAAGTCCATTGTTTTCACTCGAGCTGTAAGCCCCCTCTCTCTCTCTTAAAAATGGAGCTGTAAACCCCCTCTCTCTAGACGAGTGTTGGCAGCTTGTTCTCTCTTTTAAAGGAAGGGGAATGGCCTGGACGATTGCGTCACCTTCCTCGCGCTTTTCCTTTGGAGCATCAAATGAAATTCCCCAAAATTCCTCTCGTTTTCCACGCTTAGTCCCCCAATTTTGGCCTTGGGAGAAGGTTACCTTCTTAAACTCTCAACTTCTTTGGAACTGATAAATTCTAGGTTCTTTATTTGCTTTAAATTTACCTTTCTTTTGTTAATGTTAATTTTTTTTTTTATTTAGTGGGGTGGGGCAAGAGATTGAAGGCCTGGCTTGGTAGAGCTAGAGGTGACTTGGTTGCAAAGTTTATAAATTTTGGAATCTAAATAATGTATTTTTGTGTGTCACAGGTAAAACTAGGGCCATTATCTGTTTCTCCTATGGGTTTTGGAACATGGGCATGGGGAAACCAGCTTCTTTGGGGGTATCAGGAGGCAATGAACAATGAATTGCAAGAGACATTCAATTTGGCTATCGATAATGGAATCAATCTTTTCGATACTGCTGATTCCTATGGTACTGGCAAACTTAATGGGCAAAGTGAGAGGCTTCTTGGAAAATTTATTAGGGATTATCAAGGCAAGTGAAGCTTTAGATTTGTCATGTGCTGCTATATGCGTTTTGATATTTTTTTTTTAAGGGCCTTTATTGATACTTGTAGAAAAGATTACCTGCAAAGTTCACATTATTCTTGCTTTTACTTACCAATTCATCTGAATGACAACATGCATTATGATGTTAAGTCCATTGTGAACAATGCACATATAGGTATTTACAATTTTTTCTTCAGAAATGAGAAATCCTTCCACATACATTCACTTTTTTATTAATACCGGTAGTACTTGAAACTGCTTCGAGACAATTACTCTGGCTTGTGGGCCCCTTATTCATTTGAAGTGACACACATTTACCTTCCTGATCACTGTTTATGGACTTTTTTTTTTTCTTTGTCTATTTTTTGTTTTTTTATTTGAGACTGTTGTATTGAGGTAAAGAATAAATGAAGTAGACGAGTTTAGGCAACCCACCGGCTGGGTGCTCTATACAAAAACCCACAAGGGGCTCAAAAAGTGCTATGCATCCAAAATACAAACCAGAAAATAGATACGGCAAATGGGAGAGGTCTGGTCACTGTTTAGAGATTATGAATTATTGACAGTGTAGCAATTGGTTTGATTAAATTTGGTAAAGGTAATTAAGTACTAGAACACTAATTACAAGAGCCCACTATGCATATCAACTGTGGAAGTCTAATCATTTGAAATATACTCCTATCCTATTTTTAGAAGAGCTTCTCTCCACTAACCACTTATCAATGCCCTGAAGAATTCTCCTTGATTCTCATGGTTCCTCTCCTTGGAAACTCACTTTTAAATGCTCCTCTCTCCCTATAAGTTTTCCCTTTCACTTCCCAACTTTTGATAAGGTCCTGCCCCTGCCATCTATACTGGTATGTAAAATTTAAAGTGAGTAATTTGGTCTCAAATTCTTTTAAGATATCTACAGCTGATTGGGAGTCAGTCCAAAGATGAACATTGCATGACATAATCAGCATCAATTTGCCACTAGGATGTTTCTATGCATGAGGTGATGCACAGGGATAGTGTCTCTTTCTTTACTTTCTTGTGTCCTTCATATTTGAGTGCGCTTCCTTTATCTTTTTTAGATCCCTCATATTTGAGTGCACTCTATGATCTTGATTGAGGCAGTCGGTGTTGGTTCCGGGTTGTTTGGATGGGATGATAGATGAATCGTTAGGAGCTTTATGAAGATGCCTTTTGCATGTTGATTTTGTTACACTACAATTTTTCCAGCCAGATACAGAGTTCTCTTGATTGACATCCAGTTATGTAACGTTGAGTAAAATATTCGTCCATAAATTAGCTATATCCTGAAGACATATTCCTTCATGACGACATTCCAGAGGAAACTCACATGTCACTTCTGCTGATGTTCATACCTCCCAGTCAAGTTCTGATGGTTTGTGGACTCAAGGCAGTCCTTGGGAGATTGGCTTCCGGATTTTAATTCAGTTCTTCAATTTTGGGGTTTAATAGGTTTGTGAGTGATTATTCCATTTTTACGAAGAATTCTCTGAAAGGAACTGTGGTATTAGTGTTCAGCACAGTGTTCATAAAATCGAACTGGAAAGGTTAACTGGACATGGGCTTGGAAATGGTTTAACCTGCCTAACCGGTAAACCGGCTGATTCAACCATTCTAACCAGGCAAGTCCCGGATGGTAAAAAAAGTGTTGAAAAAATAAAAAAGATACCAACAAAAAAAATCTATTAAAATATGAAAGCATATAAAGTATGATTAAAACAAAACACATTCAAATGAAGTTGAAAACTAATAAAAAAAATAGATTTTAACGGAAACCAAATTCCTTATTTTTAGGAATTTATATACATTTTTTTAATTTTTTTTTAAATACCAGTCCATCACCAAAACCGCCCAAATTTGGAATCGGCCAGTGTCCGGTTCCGATCTAACCGCTAACCAGTGGTTGGATTGCCTGGTTTTTCCAACAGTGGTCTAGCATTTGAAATGATAATGAAATGATACCCGTTTTGTTAGCACTTGCTGGAAATCATTATGTGTTTCCCTAGAATGATTGGGAGCACTCCTAAAATACACACACGCACACTCATGCACACACACATACATTATTCTCTAATGTTATAAACTCATGCACATTGGGATTCTGATAGCAAAAGAGTCTCATACAAATAAAAAATTGAAATTGTAGATCCATGAGAAGAAAGGGAATTGAAATTTATGATTAAACCACTATGGTCTTTGAATGGTGCTCATGAGACCTTGAAAACATAACTATGTTTATAGAGTCTTCTATTTAATGACATGAGGCTTTAGTAAATTTTAAGTGAAGCTGCATTCAATAGAGCTTCTTTTGTAAGAATTCATTTCCTTGTCTGTCTTGAAACATGGCAGATTGAGTTACCTCATACTAGTAAAACATTTTCTTTGGAAAAGTGCTCCATAATGTGATTGGGGTGCTTAATAGAACATGTTTCTGTATTATGGAACCCAATAATTGCATTTTATGCCCACTCTAAATGCTCTCCTCGAGCTTTTGTCTTGTAGCCAGTGAATGAAAACTTGCTTTCAGTAAGAAAGAATACCCAACTTACCCAAAAAAAAAAAGAATACCCAAGTCAACTCAACTTATCAATCGGATGAGCTTTATAAATGAAAAACTTGCGATATGTCTTGAGTTTTTTCTTTTATATCAACTTATATGTTGATTTGAATTTTGAGTAATATGCTGATTTGAATTTTTGTTATATATAACATGAGTGTAGCTGAGATAGGGATGTTTAGATGTGGAAGTATAGAATTCGGAATGAATACATCTGAGGGCACTTAGGGTGGCTCCACTAGGCAATAAGATGAGGGAAATTAAACTTAAGTGGTCTAGCCATGTCTAGGGTCGGCCTAGAACAACACCAGTTAGGAGGGGCATTTGCTTCAATTGTAAGGCTCTAATAAGGCAAAGGAAGGCCCAAAAGGACACGGATGGAAGTAGTCAAAAGAGTTATGGTGACTTGTGGCTTGTCTGAGGGAATGACCCATGATAGAGCAGAATGGCGGAACAAGATTCATGTAGCTGATGCCAAATTGTTGGGACAAGGCACAGATGATGATGATGATGATGATGAATGATATGGTTTCTTCCAATGTTTTAGATTGTGGTATGGCCTAGGTAATAAGTTTGGTTCATTTCACATTGCAGATATGTTGTTGTTGTTTGTTTTTTATAAATTGTTTATATAAAATTTTGAAAAACTTACTGACCTTTTCCGACAGAAATAACTATTTGACTCGACGAATTGACTTGGTTTTGACAGTGACAGAATTGGCTACTGAGTTCAACTTTTTGAACACTGATAGTAAGTAAGTGTAGTAGGAAAAAGCTGTTGACATAGAACTGCATATTTTTAAGATACTCTTATTGCAACTATCAATACAAATTAGGAACTCCATGAACACCAGCGTTGGGCATGGCCAGGGCCAGCCCTACATGCCCGGTCCTCTTTGGGCTGGGGTCAGACCCAATACTTAGGCCTGGACCAATATTCCTGGCTCGATGTTAATCCATACAGCTAGGGCCAAGGGGTCTCAGCCCGTTGGGCCTGATTGGGCCAGCTACATAGCGCCCAGCCAAATTTACATTAGAAATACCAGACCCTGCCTGAGCCTAATGGACACCAGTTTGCACAAGGGAAGGCTTTGATTTATGCATTATACTTTTTGGGACAGTACATGAGTGGAGCCTGTGGAATGTGGAACATCTTTTGTATTCTCCTCAATACTGTTCCTACATTACTTTTGCATTGCACTTTCTCTCGGTTTTTGAATCAATAACAACTGAAGAAAACCTAGTTGTTTCTCTCATTTAGAAGTATCTACTCCTACAGTTTTTCTTTTATCTGTAGTATCATTTTGTACATATGGATACCTAGGTTGGTTTGGATAATATCTAACTAAAGCCCTTTAATCCCATGGAACTAATTCCCCTAGTCTGATGGGAACAACAAAGTACACTACTATGCATGGCAGGATTCTCGACCATACAAAACATATGAAACTGTGAACCTTTTTACCAACCATAGAGCAGCATGTGGATATCCCTAGTGCCATTGTTTTTGTTTGGAAGGCATTGAGAGTTGTGAAAGGAGCTATCATGCATTAAAGATGACAATAGCTTGAATCTCCGACATCTATTCCTGTTCCATTTTTTTTTTCCAATTGGACAAAATAAAGAGTCAAGGCATCTTGTGAACCAATAAGAGATGTGCTGATATAGTCCATTTGACTCATTGTCAGATGCCAGTGAAATAATAGATTGCTGCATCTTTATCTAATGTCAGTTGTGCAAAGTGATAGCAGTTAAAATGTCATATTTAGGTTTCAATGTAATAAATGAGAATACATGGGTCCACACAACCTGCTTGAATTTGAATTTGACTTATTGGATTATGTGTCAGGACCAAAGGGTGTACGTGATAACATCATCATTGCAACAAAGTTTGCTGCATATCCATGGCGCCTGACAGCTGGGCAGTTTGTGAAAGCTTGCCAGTATAATTACTTGATCTCTCAACTACCAACATGCTCATGGATGCACACACAGGGACGCATACATTTATGCAATTGCTATGCATGGAATTCACACTTTCAGATGAAGTCCAAAGCAATTTCATGTTATCTTTCTCTCTCTAACTTATACGAGCTCATCTTCAAAATGATTGTTCTTGTCATGTCATTTGTGTCAAGACTTGTCATGCAAATGTTTGTTCTTACGCATGACCCCATTGAAATGGATTTCCAGGTCATCTTTAAAACGACTACAAATTGAAAGAATTGGGGTGGGACAGTTGCACTGGTCAACAGCAAATTATGCTCCTTTGCAAGAGTTAGCTCTTTGGGATGGTCTAGTTGCCATGTATGAGAAGGTTACTGAATTTATTTTCTATATAACCCGGTTGCTTATGTTGTGAATTCACCAGAATTTTCTTTGATGCAAACTAAGTTATTTTTCATGAAATGCGCCTTTTTGTCATTTGTAACCTATGCTATATGTGGTTATTTTTATTGATAAAAACCTATGGGTGAACTCAAAGGTTTGATGGTATTAATCTTCCACATCCATGCAAATAGTCCATTCTGTAGCATTTTCTTTAACAGGTGCATGATAAAGGCAATTTTTTGTGTGACAAGTGAACAGCCATTGGTTTTATTTAGAAACGCAGGTTAAATGAGGCAATTTTGTTATGTCACAAGTACACAACCATGGGTTTCATTTATATGTAGGTTTAGATCCAAAATTTTGCAGGTCTATCATCTAGATCACCTCGATCATGAATCTGAAAAAAGAAAGCATCAAAATCTAGGCTTAAAAATGGCCTATTTTGTTATATCTTCTGGACCGCTCATTTTAATTCTTCAAAGATCATTAGATCTGCACTGTTTTTGGAGCTATAAATTCATGGATGTGAGGCAAAAATTGGGATGTGTTTTGTGTCCTAAATCCTTGGACAACCAGGATGAACACATTACTCATCCTGGAAATCCAGGATGGGCACATGACTCAGTCACTCACCAAATATGTTTCCTTTATTTTTAACAGGCTAAGATGTTGGACGCGCTGCCACAAGATCATCAATAGTCAAAGTAATAATTCTGAACCAGTGTTTGCAAAACCGGGTGATCTAACCGCTAACTGCCCGGTTAGATTGGAACCGGCCATTGGCCGATTTCGGTTTTGGGCAGTATTGGTAATCAACCGGTATTTAAAAAAAAAATTCAAAAAAATGAATATAAATACCCAAGAATAAGGAATTTGATTTGTAATGTATTTTTTATTAATATTTACATTATGGTAAAGATTAAAAAAAAATTTGGTCATTAATACTCTTATATTTTCCCATCTTTTTCAGAAAATTTTAAAAATATCTCTAGGCACAATCGATTCACTAAAATCCATTTTTTCATTAATTTTTGACTTCATTTGAAAGTGTTTTGTTTTTATTCATTCTTTATATGCTTTTCATATTTTAGTAGATTTTTTTTTTGCATCTTTTTTATTTTTTCAACACTTTTTTGACCTCCCGGGACTTGCCCGGTTAGAGCGGTTGAGTCGGCCAGTTTACTGGTTAGGCCGGTTAAGCCGCTTCCAGGCCCATGTCCGGTTAACCGTTCCGGTTCGATTTTGCAAACACTGTTCTAGACTACATCCTATTGGAAACTAACTAACATATTGGAAACTAACTGATTTGAGACTCAAATATTTTTGTTCATATCTTCTAGATTACCACAAGATCTATAATTCTGTAGATTCAGTTTAAAAATATGTTTTTATTAGTCTAGGGGACATTTATCATTTAATGTTTGGTTTGCTAGAGTGCTATGTCCTCCTTGAGCGATTCATTACATGTTGGTCTATGGAAACCACAGCCAACTGGATCATCACTGTCCATTTGAATGGCCTGTTTTAATGGACAGTGATGACCTCGAGGATGGTCGTTTCCCTATAGTCCCAAGGATTACAGTATGCATTCGCTTTCAAACTATCTAGGGATATTCTATCCATCATGTATGTGTTGTGGAAGTAATTGGGAGTAGTTATCTGGCATTTGGCATACTTGGTGAATCTTCATCTTTTGCCTTGTGGTTGACAGTTTCTTTGTTTAGACATTGTGTAGTTAATTAACAAATCGTGTAAATGCAGTCTTGGAGGGTTTAATTAACATCTAGCTTTTTACTGTAAATATCATTTATTAAGAGATATCACATGCTTGTGATTCTTAGGTCTTAAGACTTTTTCTAGTCTAATTCTAGCAAATGTCTTCCTCATGCTTCTTGTTTCACTGAGTGATCTAAGTGAGCAGCCATGCTTCAAGCAGAGTTTAGTTCGTGCTGTTGGTGTGAGCAACTATGGGCCAAAGCAGCTGCTTAAGATTAGTGACTACCTCAAAGCCCGAGGGGTTCCTCTTTGCTCAGCTCAGGTATCCCATGATATCCATTGCTGCTTTTCACTGATCAGTTTAGATTTCATGCTCTTTCTTGTGCTTTAAGAATTTTTATGTTTCTGATATTAAATTTAGATATTCAAATGGGTTTCAATCGTTACAGCCTCTGGACATATTGATCACAGGTACAGTTTTCTCTACTGAGTATGGCCAAAGATCAAATGGAGCTTAAAGCTGTATGTGACTCTTTGAACATATGCTTGATATCTTATAGTCCTCTTGGTTTAGGGATGCTAACTGGAAAATATACGGCTTTCAAACTTCCACGAGGACCAAGGTAATGAATTTCGTCCAAGTTTTCTGAGAAGTTTACTATAGAATCATAGAAGGCAGTGCAGGACTATACTGTTTAATGTGAATTTTATTTCACTAACCCAAAAATAAGATAATGAATATTTATTTTCTTTTATCAGGGCTCTGCTATTCCGTCAGATACTTCCAGGTTTAGAACCTTTGCTGCGTTCCCTAGGAGAAATTGCAGACAAGAGGGGTAAAACTATTCCACAAGTAAGATTTTCTTCTGCTTTTATAACTACTATTGTCCATTCCTTGAGTATTTTGATGTTTTTGTTGGTGGATGATACCATGATAATGAACAGAAGCATGTGTTTACTAATTTGGTGAAGCTTGTGCAGAACATGAAATAAATTCAACCCCGTAGATAAAAGGAGAATATTTTTGTTGTATACTACATGTCGTTACTGTCATTGGTTTGCCCTAACAAAAATCTCAGCTATATTTATTACTATATGTGTATGTAGCCCTCATGTATGGGGACTTATATCATCCCTTTTTTATCTTATTGTATAGTGTGTTAGTGCATCATTAATCTACCTCACTGTAGCCTAGATGTAGAGGACTAATGTCATGTGGACCACCAGATCTAAGAGGTGTGCTTGTACTTCGACTATCAGGATTCAAGATGTAGCTAAGAATCCTCAAAGGCAGAACATAAATCAAAGAGAATGTTTCTCTATCCAATGCTTCCTTCACATGGTAATGGAGCCTAGTGCTTGGAAAATTTGTTTTTTTCACTGTTGAGCCATCTGAGTTTCGTTCTAGCCACCCTTGTTGCCCTCTCATTCTGGGTAACACGCTCATCTCTTCTATTATCTGTCTCTTCTATTTTCTTTCTTGAGAGGTTTCATTCCTATTCCTTGTCAATGCATCATTTTGAGTCTTCAAATTACTCATTGCTACTGCTCTTTTTCTCTAGTAGCATGGTTAATCTATTACTTATATATATTGTTAATACAAGTGACAACTCCTTAGTTATTGCTACAATTCTGAAATCATTTGGAAAGGATATGGGTTATTTGAAAATATTTTTCAAATGAAAAAGATATGGCTAACTGTAGAATTTTGTAGGGATAGTATTGGTTGTGTTGCCGTCATAGTCTTGTACTTCCCTGCAGCATAAGAGACCTAGCTCATTATGAATGGAAAACCTTATTGTACTTCCAGCTATTCATGAGTAACCCCGTTCTCTACCCTGCTCACTTGTAACTTGTCACAAATGCTACTTTTTCCCTTTCATTAATAGCCCTTGCTTGATTTGTTTACATAATGGTCCAAATGCCACCCTGGCCTCTAGTTAGTTTTGTAGTTTAAAGTGGATGGTATTATTCATGTGGAAGACCATATATGTCATGTCCTTCCAGTGTAAGAGGCACCATGTTTCTGGTATGAGAGACATTTGAATGGATGTGCACTTAGTTTGTGGTTGTGTGTATAATTATGTGCACTGATTTCTTCTAGTGTGAGACATTGGAAATGCACTCACTTGTGTGTATGCATACCTACGAGTGTCAGTGTGTGCAATGATCGTAATAGCTGAACCCTTTCTTTTTTTCTATTATTTCAGGTAGCCATAAACTGGTGTATATGCAAGGGCACCGTCCCGATACCTGGAGTAAAATCTGTGAGACAAGCAGAGGAGAATTTAGGGGCCCTTGGTTGGCGCCTCTCCTTAGATGAGATGCTTCAGTTGGAATCTGCGGCTCAAGAGTCACCTCGAAAGATGATCCAGAACATTTTTCAGACCAGATAAATGCATTGATATTTCCTCAGGTCCTATGCTTTCGTAGAGTTTTAGCTGGTGAATCTTGAAATCTCACTATAGTCTTTACTTTTTTATTTTGTATTCGTCTTTATGGATCCTTTCATGTATCAATAGGCCCTAAATAAGACAGCCTTGGTTTTTCTCACAGAAATGAATCCTCGTAGTTTCCCAAAGCAAAGATGAAAGGCCGTTAATTTTGATCACTTGAGATACCCATTTTAGAGCATCATGTAATATAGTGGTGCATGCATAAGTTTGGGATTATAGGGGTCTCCACAAAGAAAATGATTGATGACCTTGCAAAATGCAAATATCCTTTATTTGGGAAATTTTTTTTTTATGATTTATGGGAAAAGATATTATTAATAATATTAAAAAATAGAAAGTAAATTGTTACTGAGCTTATTAATTTAAGGACGCAGTTAGCATGCGAGCGAAGCTAACATGGGGATCATGAATATTAAAGAATAAATAAATTTTAAAACTAGAAATAATAATTCTAGTAAGAAAACATTTGAACCATTAGTTTCAATTGTTTTTAGATGGACCACATATTTGCATCCATATTTAAGATGGATGCTTTATACTTCTAGATCGCAAATGTAGAAATGCGGTAACCCGCATGAAACAATTTTTCTTAATTTAGTTAGCTCGTATATGATGCTTGATTTATAATAGCATTTAGGCTACAAGATTAAAGGGAGTGGATCTTGAGTGATTTGTATAAATCATTTTGAGAATCTCTAGTTTTTTGGATTCCTTGAGCATGATTAATGACTCGTTTGGCGCCATGAGTTAACAAACCTGGGTTTTGAATCAAAATCTTATTATGCCAGGTTATGTTAAAACGTGATTATTGAAACATGGACTGATTGGATGGCTTTGAATGGTATTCAGGTTATGTAAATCTCATGTTTGAATCATCTTTTTATAGAACCTGGTTTGTTGTTAGGGGTCGTTTGGTACACATGAAATTCGACAGAAAAATATTTACATAGGAGAGAATTACTCAAGCATGATTTTTCCTATGTTTGGTAAACATTGGTGGAAATAGTTAGAGTATGAGAACACATCAAACTTGAAATTTTGATATAGTTTCTCTCTGAACGTTTAAATAGTTTCTCTCTAAAAGTTAAAATATGATATTGCTTTTCTTTAAAAGTTTTGAGATAGTTTCTCTCTTTAAAAATTTGAAATTTAATATCGCTTCTCTCTCTAAAATTTTTGAGATTCTCAGGGTATGTTTGGTTGAAGTGTAAATACTTATCGGAAAATAATTACATAGGTAAATACTTTACTTGTGTAAATATTTGCACATACATTTTTTTTACCATGTTTGGTAGCACATTTAAAAAGCTCTATGTAAATAGTTTCATATGTTTGGTAGCGTTTCGATGGTGTGAAAGTATTTACACAAAGCAGTCGTGGGAGGCAAGGCACACAGGGG